TAATCATTGCTTTAAAGGATTCATATTCAATGCCTACTTCAATTCATATTCTACATAGAACCTGGAAAAAAAAATTACATATTTCTTCACACATCCTTAGCTATCTCCAGACTGCACAAATTACTTCATTGACCTCAGAAATCCTTATCTGCTAAACTCTGTTGTCTTGTAGCCAAGCAATAAGCATTCATGGTTTTTCATCTCAATAACCCAACTAAAGAACTAGAGGAAACAGCAGGGAGAAAAGATGCACCAATGCTCTTAAACTGGAAGGTATGGAGAGCCTATAATGCACATTGAACATGTGAGTGCAAGTGTTTTCTTTTCCTCATGTCACAACATTTTCTTCATTGCTATCCATTCATAAAAATCTCAAAATAAGAATTCAAATCGTGTTTAAAAGTGACTAAGGGCCATTTGGCATGGCTTTTGAAAAGCCAAAAAGAGCTTTTGAAACCTAAAAACTGCTTTTGGACAGTTTAGCTAATTTTATGAAAATGCTTCTTCTGAAGAGCTTTTAGAGGAAGCGGTCATGGCCTCCTCTAAAAGCACTTTCGGAATAGGAAGCTCTTTTAAAAATTAGTTTTCAAAAATCAAGGTAGCTTCCTCCAAAAACCCTTCTACTGGAAGAAAAAACAAAAGCCATGTCAAACGGACCCTAAAAGATCAAACCAAATGTTCTGAATGGTTGGTCCATGAATAACATGACTCCATGCAGAAAAATTAGCTAAAAGGAATGCAATTTCCAAAATAAGAGCCTTTTTAGATAGAGCAGTCATAACGGTTTTCTTCTCGGTGAACTGTTTATAATGATTAAGGCAACTACAAGATAATACTCATTATTAGCATTTCAAAGGGAAAAAAAAAAACTGAAAGACTATACTTACGGCAAGACGAAGTCATATGATTCAGCAGTCCACATGGCTCCCCATCAGGTGTATGAACAGGACACAGAAACCCCCAAGATCTGTGAGATATAATATATGTCAGGGAAATGGAGAGTACAAGACAAAATGAAGTGGTAAATGAGTCTGAAGGGATGAAAGCAAGGAACTGCATAAAATAACCAAATGTTATCAAGTAATTAGGTAACAGGTAAAGAAGACATACTCAGGCAACAACTTGCGAACGCTTGTGGTACGAAGGCCTGCAAATGATGCACCTCGATGGACAGCTCGAAAGTGTGAGATAAAACGCAGAAAATTTAGTCTATCTGCTTGAACAGTCATCCCAGCTCTCTAACAACCATAGAAAAGAGGAAAACATAAATAACTAACTTTTCTAGCATGACCTTCAGTAAGAAATGCATAAAGTAATTTTTAGTAACCAAAAACAGTTTCAAATAAATTGCAATTATTCAAGCCGGAGCAATGGCTTCATGGTATAACCAAGAGCACTTTTATACCAAATTGAGCCAAAAGAACGGTCGACAGGCAAGAGTCTCATCATACACCACAAGCATATAAATACGATCTTCAATTATAAAGCACAAATGTTGTTGGGCACAGAATACCAAAAAAACTACTAAATGATATTTCACGTGGTAAGTTAGTAGGATGACATTTATCTGCCAGTGTCAATCTGTCCCCCAAGGTATTCGAACTTGCTACAATATAGCTAATGCTATTAGTAAGCAAAAATCTTATCCAAATTTGCAATTCTAATTCAAAGAATTCCTGTACAGAATAATTGGGATTACAAATTCACCATGTCAAGTTGCAGATAAATAAGTACGTCAAGTATCAGAGTGCTTTTACATTGTTCAACTTCCAACACTAGCTTTATGCCATTCATGACTTCTGATACAAATTTCCGATGTAAAAAAGTCATTTTTTCAGAAAGCATTTTACAACATACCCGATAACAGAGCAGTAATATAATTCAGTACGTTCAAACAGAATATTCCAGATACACCTCACTATGATTTATAAAAATGTAGATATATAGAATAGATATATATTGATAATCGTCGACCGACAAGGATGAAGATGAATATCAGTTCATCTGTACCTGCTGCAAATCCAACCCTGATTGTGTAACCAATCTTCCTGTCTTCAACAAATTTTCCACAGCTGCGCTAATATGCCTTGGAGAATTTTTATCGATGACCTTCTTGACATCTGCTACTGCCATAATCAAACAAAGCCCAAAAAATGTCAATCCAACCATTGAGATTCTATAAAATGTAAGCCAGAAAGATGAATTTCATTTACTGACATTTTAAAGCAGCAATAGAACTTAGGATATTTGCTTCAAACAAGACAAAGAAAGTGATTATACATAAAAATGAAAGAAATATCAAATCAACAAATACCCACAAACATATCGTAAACCATCTGAATGGATGTCCTACGGAAAAAGTTTGAATACGGATTCCACAATCATGACAGCAAATGATATATTAAGGACAGAATATGAGATGCCCAAATGTGTGGCACCAAGATGCAAGTCAAATCCCAAAAAAATGATTAAATGACAAATTGTTACAATGCATGCTCATGATTGCTACCATGATGTTTACAGTAAGCAAGCCTGATATTGTTTGGTTTAAGATGGCAAAGAGACTATCAATCAAAATCTATAGCAGAGTTCCAATACATTGTAGGGCAACATAAAACAGACAAACATTAAAAACAACAAATGTCTAGAGTCTCCAAAGAATAACAGCTGCTAGTCCACCACTTTCAAACTTCCAATCTTATATATAACAAACAAAACTAGACCAGAACTAAAACCTTTGGCTTTGAAGTGAAGCCTATATCATTGTAGTGTGCTGACCACAAACAACAATGAAAACAACACGACACTTCAGAGAAAGAAATTCAAAAGGTCTAGAAAGAGCATCAGAAATAAACTCAACTGCCGTTGATTCCCTTGTCATTACATTCATGCCATGTGAGGGTTTGAATTTGAAAAAGTAATATTATGAGTGCCTCATTAAAAACTCTATGATACAAATTGAACAAGGTAAAATTCAAATAAAGATATTAAAAACTCTATGATACAAATTGAACAAGGTAAAATTCAAATAAAGATAAGACATACAGCTGCTCAACTCAAACTTCTTTGTTCTGTTGTCAATTTCATCTTGAAGAAGCCTTTTCACCTTGAGCAACCAGTCTTGTAACTTTTCCTGCAACATAATAATTTCATGAATTTTCATATAGTGCCATCAACAAAATATAGAACTACTGTAGCACACAAAAGGACAATAGATTTTAACAATCAACTGCCTTAACTATGATGCACTGATATGGACACGTATTCGACACGACATGTCGTCAATATGTTGATTAATGTCTTTAAACTTCTTCATTATATAATGTTATATAATGTTACTTTAGTTTCATACTTGTTACTTTTCCTGTTGAAATTTTAGTACCTATTTGTTATGTTATAATAACTTCGAGTTAGAACTATATATTATTATTGCCAACGAAAGAAAAATGACTATGGTAGAGTGTTCAATGAGTGCCAGTATCTGATACGACATGACACATGTAAGACACGGACATGTCACTTTAATTGAATAGTCAATGTAATCATAACAACATATATATGTTAACTTACACATTGTTGAGTGCAACCACCGTAATTTGTGTATAATACTTTATCACACAAAAAGAGGTATTTGTGAAAGGAACTTATTCCTTAAAAAGTTGCTTCATAATTTGCTTGACAGCATTTATCTTTTCTGTTTTTCACATTATCAGAAGAGCAGAGCAATCTAAAATGACTAAGGGCTTCATTCACCTTAAAATGGATTTCGTTAAAATAACTTACGAGTTTGTACAAAATTTCATCAGATATAGATTATGTCTTTCAGTGCCACATTACAAGCAAATGCGTTTTAGTTTGCAATCACATATCACCTGCTTCATTTTTGTGCAAAGACAGATACCTAACTTTCAATAGAGCCAAGAACTATCTCCCCAGTCCCCAGTGTGCACAAAATTTGTGCAGCAACACTATCATAGTTTCTTGTGGAAATAACAAGAGTATCATATGGTTATGCTAATTATTTGTAAATGAGTACCACAAGTATTCTTGAATACATTTCATATATAATAGTTAGATTTGCCGAGTAATGTCAAATAATTCCTACATGTACCAAGTTCTTTCCATCAGTTAGATGATGAAAATTGGAATAAATTTCCACGTTTCTGTACGATATACAAGAAAGTTACATTAGATAAAGACGGTGTTTTAATAAACATTAGATGAAGACATACTTCAAATACTTGACAAAAATTCAGTATATCTATATCACATTTCAAAAAAATAAAGTACCAAAGTGTGAACCTTGAGATAAATAGTTATTAAGTGGCCTGGCAATAAAACTTCTTGGTTTTGTAAAGAATCTGGATTGTCTGGCACAGAAGTCTGATCTATGAGAGAAAAAAGTTTCTGCAACATAAAGCTGAACCCAATCCACGAGTCAGTTACTAACAGAAATTTAAGAGACAAAAATAAAAAATAAAAATACACCAACGATATGGTTATACTGGAAGTCTAGATATGCAAGGAGATACAAAGCACGCCACCAGTGATCAATTAAAATAGATTTGACATAGGTTTAAGAATAAAAGCTAACATGAGGAGATTGAACTTGTCATGGTTGTTATCTAGATGAACAAATATGTAATCTCTTAACACGGCCTCAGCAACCTGCAAAAGGATAAAAACAAAGATAAACGTAACTAGAAGTGGGGAACCACAAAAAGTCGTTCCAATGTGAGAAAACATCGTATTTCAATTATCGTCAACTTCGATCTTTCCAGAACTTTTGGAGTCTCTACACACGCTGCTCCAATGTGAGAAAGGTTCTACATTTTATTTTATCTTTTACTTATATCTTCCCAAGATGTACATCACAGTTATCACTTTATTCAGGCTATGTTGTAGGATCTTACAACTGTTTTCTAACTAAAGGCGTATCTAGTGAGAGTTATTGACCAAGAAGCATAGTTGTACTTGGTCACACGTGCCACCCTTTTGATGCAAAATGGGTACAAATCCTACCTTACTTATTGACCAAGGAGCATAGTTGTACTTGGATATATGCCACTCTTTCGATGCAAAAATGGGTATAAGTTTACTACATTACTAATAATGTAGCATGCATAAAAGACGAGAACTTACAGTGGAATAGCTTTCATTTTCCAGTCCTGCCATGGCAGGTCGGAAGTGCTCCCCTGCGGAATGAAGGGATTCAGTGGATGCAATCAACATATATATTCACAATAAAAGAAACTACAAGTGATAAGTACCTATGTGTTGCAAACATTGAACATGCGTGAAAAGAGACAAGTTTTGAAGTTCATCTAAAATAATTTTTGCCCTTTCGCCAATGAGTTGAGTGCCAACACATCCCTTAACCCGATCATATAGCTCGTTGTAGCAACATGTTAAACTCACATAGATTTCATGATCAGTTGTGTCCGCAAGGGCCTAAAACAAAAAGATAAAGAGTAAGAAGTGCAATATGCAATCATATTGCTTCATAATCTTATAATATTATCAAATGTTTCTTTTAGCTCAATTTCCTTCAACATTTTTCCTGTTCCAGCTTTCAGTTTTCTTTACCACTTCTTTACTTTTATTTCCTCTTTTCTATTGCTCCTTGAAGCTTCATCATAGATTGTTCTTGTTTTATGGTTCCAAAGACAGCATTCAATAATTCGCAATCCTTCCTCTAAAGGAAAGACTACAAGGACCGCATAGTTAATAAAATATCTTCCCTCCGCATTTTTAGTTTCCCAAGATGATGCAATATGACAAAGTAATCTCATTGTCAAAGTTTTACAGGTGAGAGCTTGTTTCTACCAAGAAATCAACAAATTCACCAAATATTTCTACAATTTACACGTGTAGTGAACATGTTTTGGGACTGTTTGAGAAACCTCCAAGGGTATTAAGTACCATATCAATCTAACTAGAGTAAAAGGTATGACGGCACCTTCAATATGATTCCAACAGGAAGCAGATATTCCCTTCCTTGTATCCTGGAAAAAGGGAGTTAATTTCTTCATAGAAGCTCAAGTCCACTAAATTATAAGTAGTTATTCTCACCAGAATCCAAGCCTCGCACTTCCATTGTTGAGGTAGTATAATTTGATTGTCACTGCAGATTGATCTTGTCGAACACTTCTGAATATTCAAAAATTACACAAATTCATTATTGACAAGAAAAATTCTAGTACAAGTAAATATTTTACCCACATCCCAACAGGAAGCAACACAAATTAAAGACGTTAAGAAGCAAAAAGCTCAGTCTCCAAAGAAAATTAGGAGCTACTACATTTGTTTCAACATTCAGTAAACAACTAGCTGACAACTGCATATTATTTCATTTTGTGCCGTGTGAGTTGTGACAATAGATAAGTCTCCACTTAAAGGAAAAATAGTACCCTGACTCACTATAAAACAGTAGGGAAAATTCGTAAAAGAATTTCTGCCATGGTTTGTTTCTCATAGTAAAGATCGAAACACAAGCTTAAAAGATAACAAATTGTTGACCTACAAGCTGGTCTCATAATTCATATAGTCAACAATGACTGTTTCACGTAGAAATTTGCGCAAAATTATCATTGAAAAACTGGAAAAAAGTAAATAAATAGGTTAAGCCAAAATAAAGATATGGTGCGAAAAACAAATACCTTATTGCAACAGCTTTATCAGTATATCCTTCACGCTTGTCACGGAATGAATTACGCACCATGCTCATTGGCTAGAGAGTAAGACATAAAATTTATTAAGATCAAGAAGAAAAGAAAAATATATGATAGTATTCAAAATACATTACAAGAATGATGTCTTACAAGGTCCTCAAAATTTTTGGACAACTAAGATCCACAGTTCTTTTCATATCAGAATCAGTAACTGTTCATGGGTGCAAATAATTACTCACATAGTTTCTCTTCGGCAAAATAAGAAGTCGAATCACTCTCTCAAGCCCGTTCAAGATGAAGTATCTACAGAAAATATAAATAACATATGAATAATCTACAGGCAAAAAATGTCAAAGTAAAGTGACAAATACTACTAGTTTGAAGATTCAAATGAAGTGCAGAAGGGAATGCAGAGTTGAAGAACATAGAGGTGAAAATCATCTTACTCACCCACCCATTTCTGATGGATCTTCTTTGTACAAAACTAACTTTTTGGGATCACCAGCAGCTTTCAGATGACAGAGTTTCGACTACATAAAACAGAAGTAAGATCTTTGATGTCAGGCAATATCCAAATAGAGACATATAGAATAAATGTCTTCTTAGGTAAGAAACATAAGGCTGGATGTTCAATTATGGCCAACATGTCATGTCATTCATCTAGTTCTTATATGACAACACCGAAGACTACACAAGGGGAACATTTATAATCCATTTCTTGCTTGCTAAGTCGGTATTTGGGAAAAAAATGAATTGGTTCATGAGATTGTGGCGGCATAAGGCCGAAAATCCAATTATAGCCAACATGCCATGTCATCCAGTTCTTACACCACGCACTGGAACCTACGTAAGGGGGTGATTTATAATCCATTTATCAGTGTTTATCAGTCTTCGAAAAAAAATCCTTCTATTAAGGAAATAAAAATAAAAAAAGTTCTTAAAGACTGGTGGCAAAAGATGATGGTAGAAAGTGCCACCACAGGAGAGAAATGGTGGAGGTCATGGCATGAGTTTTGTAAAGTATTTTCTTCACAATAATATATACTAATGGTACAACACCCAAACATGGTCTATTTTCTCTAACTTTTACAAATTTTTGTAGCTGATGGAATGACATCTGTCGATGGATGTGGTTGCCTCTTTTATCTAATCAATCAAATAACGAAAAATCCTGTAAGTTTCGGCGCTCTATTCTAAAACATAAATATTGTCAAGATCCCTTTGTAGGCAAAGTGAAAAAGTGGCGACAGAGATATAGTGGTACAGTTGGTTCCATTGTACTTTGGTTGAGTTTAGGCCTTCCAATCACATCAAATATTATTCTTAACCAACAGCTATTAGGTGTTATGGAAGTTCTAGCATAACTAAAAATTTAGACATGTTTCCTGAAGGGACAGAAAATTTTAACACTTGTTTCCTTTAATCTTTTTTTCTGAAGGACTTCTCCAGGCTTTATGGGGCAAAAGGAAAAACACCCCTCAAAAGGAATTCTCAAGATCACCAGATTCACCACTTAACACCAGAGTTCCCTTGAGCATTCCCCCAAGTATTCCAATAGATGGTGACCATATCATCGGTGCAAAATTGTCACATAAAACACCAGCAAGCCGTGTCTAAGAACCATGCTTCCACCCCAGCAGCTTCAAATGAAGCAATAGTTGGCGAAGCCTACTTCTAATACAAGAGAGGTCGCCCGACCTGCATATCCAGAGATAGGATAACCAAAATTCATGGCTGACTTTCTAAAATCTAACCAAAACAATCACTAATTTTTAGTGTTTAAAACTATAGACAAAAGACTTCCTAAATAAAATTCATGGCTTAAGCAAAACATATATCTGATTTTTAGTATTTTAAAAAAAAAGGCATGATGTGTATTTACCATGTATACGTTCATGGGACTACCATTATTCAGTAACGTCCTAAATGTCTTCTACATATTACCCATACTAGTTTTGACTTCACTAATTCATTCCTCCAATATTTTATAAAAGACAACTAAAAACTATTCTTTCCCGAATTTAACCAGAGATCATCCATCAACTCAATTTACGAGAGGGGACATCAAGCATAATCTTGGAACAATAACTGGTCACTTATTTTGTCCTCAAAAACTTATTTCTCACTCTGCATCTACTCAAATGTAAATGATGACAACTAATTTTCACCATACCAGGTCGAAAGGCAGGAGTGCTGACAACAGCTTGTACACATACCTAAAGGCATGAAACTCCCCAGTAGTTCACTATGGGTGGAATTAATATCTAATGAAAAAATCAGCATATACTTGCCAAATAAGTTATCCTATAAGTTCCTGTAATTGTAAGAAAAAAGCGATTTACATAATTTTGAACTGAAATTAGATACATACCTTCAACATGATAGGAAACTGTCCAAAATTAAATTTTTCTCTAATGGGAGCTCCATCAGCATACTGGAAGTAAATGTCCACCAAAATCTTCCCCGCATAAGTTAGTTTAGCTTGTCTACACTGTTTCAGTAACAAGGGCATAGAAATGCATCGATCTCTTTGCATGATATTGAGTATATGTACAGCAATGCCGAAAATAGCTAAATAAAATACCTCAAAAGGATATAAAGCATCTGCCATGGTCCGGGAAAAACGCTCCTTTTGAGGAGGATATAGCTCAGGTTTTCCAAACCAGAGTGCATCGTCGGTTAAGAATCAACGTCTGATGGAGTAAATATTCAAATATAGATGAAAAAGTTTCACACTGTTAGAGCATAATTTGTACAAAATACTGACTTCAACCCCATCATTCCTTTTATCCATAAACTCCAACAAAATTAAAATAAGACTAGTATTTTCTAAGATTTTGCTAGTTCTGCAAAATATCACAATAAAACCAGAAAAACACCAATAAAATTCAAAGAAAACTAAAAAATTGAGTACAAAACAGAGCATTAAGCTGGAAAATCAGGTAATGATACACACCAAATTTCTTTTCACGATCAAAAAAATTATTTACTTAGCAATTTATCAGAAAAAAGGATATTTCTCAGCTTCAGTTTGGAGAACGAATCGAAAACTTCTATGGGTTTGATGTTCTGCAACATGGTGTCCAGACCATACTCCACCATGTAATCAAAGGATTCGATATGATGTTTGAACAACTCCCTCAAAGCTTCGTAATTTTTTTCTTTAGACAAATGTGGCCGCAGCTGCCACCTATTCTCGTTTCTTGGGGCCTCCATTCCTTCTGCTTCACCTTTCCGACGGAAAGGTAAGACTAGTATTTTCTAAGATTTTGCTAGTTCTGCAAACTATCACTAAAAAAAACCAGAAAAACACCAATAAAATTCAAAGAAAACAAAAATTGAGTACAAAAACTGAGCATTAAGACTGGAAAATCCAGATAATGATACATACCAAATTTCTTTTCACAATCAAAAAATTATTTATTTAGCAATTTATCGGAAAAGAGGATATTTCTCAGCTTCAGTTTGGAGAACGAATCAACTTCTATGGGTTTGATGCTCTGCAACATGGCAGACGATAGGCTGACGGAGTTGTTTTCTATATTGGTTGGGTTGCTGAGGTTTATTTCTAGCCTTCTAGGGTTTAAGCCAGCCCGAGCCCGAAGGAAAGTTTCCATATATGGAAAATTGCAGCAATTCATAATCTTTTTAATTTTTGCAGATTTTACCTTAGTTTTTAATTTGGGTCAAAGAACATCCCTGACCTTTCAAAAACCATCCATTTAACCGTTAGTTGACCAAAAAAATTTATTTTTAATTTAATTGGTTTCTATGTGAAAAAAAATTAATTTTTGAAAAAGAATACGAAGTTGGGTAGGATGAGGTAGGGTAAAAAATAAAGTTTAAAAAATTGAGGATTGTGGGTCGCACATGTAAAATATTTGGATTTAATTTGTAAAAAAAAGTAAAACTTTGGATATTAAAATTACAATTATTTCTATTTAATTTTGGTATTTTTTACTATTTTTAACAAAAATTGTGACGATGTTGAAGGCATAGGGTTTTTTGCACAAAAGGTGGATATATGGTATATTGCAAATGGAAACGTTTCTAATGAGGTTTTTTGCTATTAATTTTAATGAAAATGAGTTTTGAAATAGTGATTTTTTTGGAATACTAGTCAAGTTAAACGTGCATTGCACGTTATTTAGAAATACTTTATAAATGTCGTAAAAGTAATATTTGATATCAACTTGTTGGGATGATTTGATTGAAAGCCCAAGATTTACTAATCAAGAGGGGTGAATGGGTTATTAAATCTTTTTCGTTAATTACTTAAAATTTTAAACTAATATATACATAAATGATAGATAATTAAAATAAGCACGAGTAGTCACGTAAATGAAACAATATAAGCTTGCACAAAGTAAAAACGTTAAGTAAAAGGAATAGAGGGTGCAAACGATATGTTATGGAGGGTCGATCCAATGCAATGATATACGTCCCCCGTTACCAAGCTTCTGGCACGAGCAATGCCTTTTTCACTATGTTAATTGACTTATGGTGCAATCCAACCATTTACAACGCTTTCGATGACTTACAACCAAAGCGCACCGATCATTTTACAATGTTGAGCTTTCTGGGACCTCAACGTGACCCACAATTCAAAATGAATTTACAAATGAAATCTTATCTTCTTATCGAATGATAGAATCAAGGTAGATATCAAGAAGAGAAGAGACAAACACTTCAATAGATGGCAATGAGTTTAGCTCAAAGTATTGAAATGAAAAACTTCTTGAAGAACTAAAAATTTTCACAAAGTTAACCACTCAAAAGTTTTTCAAGAGTTTAATGCTTTTGATCTTCTTAAAGATGGAGAATAAGGTAGTTGTGAGCAATAAAAGCCTTACTTTAATGTCCAAAAATTATTTTTTCAAGTGAAGATTGAATGAGGTATTTATAACAATCAAAACGGCCAAAAACCCTGTCCATTTGGACAAGGGATCCGAACGTCCGGATGAACTAGCCGTTAGAGATGTGCAACGGTAAGAAAAATGATCGTTGCCCATCCGAATGTCTGGTTAGCGAGTTTTTGCCTTCCGAACGGTTTTCTTCACAATGTTTTTGATTAATGTAAGTTTTTTGAAGAATAACCTAATATTTTCAAAGCGGGTGATTTACAGATCCATCTATTAGTAAAAGCATTTACTCCTTTGAACAATGATTTGTATGCAATTGCTTTATGTTTTTAAAGAGATGATTTTCTTATGCATAAAGAATTTGTTTTGAGCTACTAGAAAATACATGGCCAAATAAAGAAGCATTTTACATTTACATTTAATGTATCTAAATCTAATGTCTTGATATGTGTCTTTGTTTCTTCATGGGCTCTTTTTCGTCCATTTGTTTGCCAAGTTTGTTTTCACGTGGATTGTCGATTTGCGACTCTCGTGATCTTTGTATCTTCAACCTTAATAGCATTCAACGATCGCTCTAGAGGACACTTGAATACAATTTGTTAGAGTTAAATGTAATTTGTTTGTAATAATCAAAAAGAGAAGTCATTCATAGGTCAACAATTTCCATCTTTTTGATTATAACAAACAAGTTAATTTGTAATATGGATAATAAACAAATTGTTATAAAACTTTAGCATACGTTCCCCTTGTCAATGTGCATATAACATTTGATATGATTTTTAGCTAAGAATTCCCCCTATCGATGTGCATAATTTTCCCATTTGTCTTCTCCCTTTTGGCATAAACAAAAAGAAAGCATAACATATGAGTTTAACAAGAGAAGTTCTCATAAGAAAGCATAATATGTAGAAAATGAAAAATGAACTAAGGTGCCAGGAGGCGGTGGCGGTGGAAATCGAGCATCGAAAGCTACAAAGAAGGCATCCTCCGGTCCTGGAGGGTAATTTGTTGCGCCTGAAGCTGAAGCAATAGACTCTTGAAGCTATCAACAGTGGCAGTAAGAGAATCGATACACCCATTGAGGAAATTGAACTGCTCTTCCATGAAGGAACGGTCAATGGAAGAGTGTGATGTGCTCGAGCTAGGGATATTAGAAAGAGGGATAGGAGTATCCTCGGAGTCTTCCTCAGATTCGTCCTCGAATGGTAGAGTCGAGGGACCGGTTGTGGCATCAAAACCCTTTGTCCGAGATCTTTTACTATTTTCATTCGTTCTAGAGTTTTGATATTGATGATATCGGTAGGACTTGGTTTGATAGAGGTCTCACCCTCAAGTGAAACATCGAAGTGCTTTAAAATGTTCTTAAGAAGCATCCCGTAAGGTAGTGCTTTAGTGTGTCGTGATGCATGCATAAGTTTCATAACACCAAAAGCAATAGTGGGAAAATTTAATTTACGCTCAACCAATATAGAGTCTAAAATAAAGAGATCGAAGTTACTTACTTCGTCTCGGTGACCTTTTCTTGGAAAAATGATGTTAGCAATAATGTTTTGTAAAATTTTGCACGGAAGAGTCAATTGCTTGGAGCTAATCTTAGTAATATTTTCAAAATTCTTACCAATGACTCGTCGACATGCCTCGGACAGATTATAGCTGTCGCATGTAAGAAATGCCTTGTGAACAAAAACTTGCAAGTCACATGGTTGAAGATTGAGAATATCACGAATAAGTGCTTTAGTGATTTTAATATGAACATTTTTAAGAAAACAAGTAATAGTGTCGGAACGGGGATCAAATTGCATATTCATGAAAAAATCTTTCAAAAGGCGTGGGTATGCGTGTTCCTCCATGATGCACATGGATACCCATCCCATTTTTTCAATGTATTCCTCAATGTGAAAACTGGGTGCTTCTATAAAAAAAATAGCAAAATCGACACTTTTACCGATAAGAATAGGAGATTTCTCGAAGGGATTTTCTGGTGCCTCGGATTCCAAGTCCATATCTTCCTCCGATAAAGATGAGAGAGGTTGTCTCACCGTCTTTTTCATCCTATTTCCCATTTGAGAACCCGACATTGAGAGATTTGAGGTGAGAGACCAAATTTAGGGCTTAAGGTATTAGCAATTTTGTGTCAAAAACACTAAAAGTTTGAATCAAATATGAATTCGAGATATGTCAATGAAAATTCAATAAATTTGGTTATTTTGTGGAGAGATGTCAAAGGAATTAGGGCTTCGAAAGTGATGAGAGTGAGGTGATTTTGAGAGGATTTTTGGGGAAAATGGTGTGGATTTGATATAGATCTTGTAGATTTGAGGGTGGAATGAGAAATTGAACGAATTGGGAGTCAATATTGGAGATGTTGAATGATTGTAGGGAGAGAAGTGAAGAAAAAAATGGGGAAAAATGAAGAACAATGTGCTGCAATCGCTATTTTTAACTCTTAGAATCGATGATCCGGACGTCTGAAAGGCGATCCGGGACATCCGGATGATAGAACTTAAAGAAGTTCTTTCCATTTATGTCCGGATGTCCGAACGAGGTAGGAAGTTGTCCGATTGGCCTATATTAAAAAAAATCAGTAGGTTGTTTCAATTTTGCACATCAATAATTTCCAGTTCTCTTCTAATAAATGAGAAACAGTCTAGAGCGAGGGGTTTAGTAAAGAAGTCGGCCAATTGATTTTTCGTATCAACAAATTCTAGCAAGATATCTCCTTTTTGAACATGATCTCGAAGAAAATAATGTCGTATTTCAATATGCTTGGTTTGAGAATACAAAATGGAATTTTTGGACAACATAATTACACTAGTGTTATCACACATAATGAGAATATGATTATAGGGCATGTGATAGTCATATAGGGTTTGTTTCATCCAAAGTACTTGTGCACAACAACTCACCGCTAAGATGTATTCGGCCTCAACCGTAGATAGAGCTACCGAGTTTTGTTTCTTACTAGACCATGATACTAGAGCAAAGCCTAAAAAGTGGCAAGCTCCGCTAGTACTTTTGCTATCAATTTGACATCCGGCCCAATCGGCATCCGAATAGCTAAATAAGTCAATGTGAGTGTTTTTCGGATACCAAAGTCCTAAGGTTCAAGTTCCACTTAGATATATAAAGATTCTTTTCACAGTTTTAAGGTGGGATTCCTTATGATTAGATTGGAAATGAGCACATAAGCATAAACTAAACATTATATCGGGTCTACTTGCGGTTAAGTAAAGAAGGGATCCGATCATACCTCGATATTTGGTGATGTCAACGGAAGTGCCTTGATCATCTTGTCAGCTTTGTGGAAGTGCTCATCGGAGTATTCATAGGTATTAGATCATTCATTTCGAACCT